GTTCTTCTCCTTAAACTTCTCAGATCCTGATTGCAATTTTAAGTTTTAAATTCATTTATTTTTGTTTCTTACTAAACATACCAAAAGACACTTGCACAAAAAACAGCATAATCCCAAACATAAACGTATTAAAACACCAGATAAGCCACAAAAATATTTAAACAAGAAATGTGCATGCATGCACAACAACTTTTAAGAAATTTCCTTTTGATGAAAATATTCTTCTTCATCATCCCAAAAAAAAAAACTTTCTTTTGTCTCTTCTAGAAAAGTTTTATTGGTTTTCTTTAGTTTCTCAAGATGAGCAATGCATAAACAGAAACCAGTAAAGAGAAAGGCAAAGGAAATTGGATTTTATTCCAAGTGAACGAGTTTTATTGAATATGGAAGTTAATGTAGAGGGATTTGGATGAAAAACAAGAGAATTTTTGATAAAGAAGAATGAAAATTTTAGGAAAAATTCAATTAAGATGAAAAACTTTTAAACAATTTTGGAACTAGTTGTTAAAATTAAATATGATAAACTTTTTATTGTGGTCAAAGTAGCTGAAATTAGCAAGAACTTTTTATAGAATGTAAAATTTCATTGTTCAAATGATTAAGCAGAGTTGATATGAATGAAGTTGAACAAATCGAGTCGATCTTGGAATTAAGATATTCACAAAAATTGAAAATTTTGTGTGAATATGAAATGCATAAATGACTGGTTTAAGCTCCTAGCTTATTACTTCCTTGGCTGGAGCACACGTGGGTCCATTGCCGCACTTAGAGAACGTCTATAGACAACTATATTTTTTGATACCTTCTGGTAATCTGGGAAACTTTTCAACTCAACCAACCCAGGAGCTCTTTGGTCTTTCTCGTGCTCTCTGGCCATCCACAAAATCTGCTACTGTTACTTTTAGTCCTGGTTCGTTCTATGAGCATCTAAGCACATGACTTACCCCTCTAGTTTGTTTTGATTCTTATTTAATATATTCAAATTTCAATCTAGGGTGAATTGGAACACTAAGATCGTCTTGGATCTGCTTAATTCGTCTTGGATCTCTTTAAATTGTGTTGAATCTCACTTCATCCTCATCAACTCCTTTGAACAGATGTGACATGAAAGCAGATCATCTCCTTATGAAGCAACCCTGAAAGATCTTAGAAATTCGTCAAAAACTTCATCTCAGCATCCACGAGCGTTTTGTGCAATAAAAACTAGCAAAATTAAAAACTTCAAAGCATTATTCACGTCGTTACCTTAAAAAGAAGCTTATCTTAACAACTGTAAACATAAATACATCCGCACATACAGAGACGTGGAAAAATTCTTCAAGATAAGTACATCTTACAAAGAATGAAACAAGCTTCTTTAAGTATATTTTATTTCACATTTTCTAATATAACAGGCATAAAGATTCATATGTTTATATTCGAGTGGGATATAAATTTTACAGACATACTCATGTATACGGGGTGTAATAAGTTTTTTTTTCTCTTTTCTCCTGCAACCATGGAGTGAAATTATGAAAATAAAATTTAATTAAAATTATTGTTTCTCATAGTAGCAAAGGCATTAGGATGAAGATAGAGAGTGCTTTATGCTTATGGCATCGTAAAATATTGTAAAATACACGCAACGATGAAATTTTCTACCCGGGTTGAGTAAAAAGTTTTTATTTTTGGTGTCGTGCTGCTAAAGAGGTTAGGTTCTGGTTTAAGAATTAAAAATGGATTTGAAACAGCAAAAATAATTTAATGCTTTATTTTTCATAATAATCTTGGTTATTGATTTTATAGGATTCGAACACAATCTTGGTCAGAAATTCGACTGATATAATATTAAGTCAATTTATAATTTTAATTTATTTTAACATTGTCGGCTTCTATTAGCTCAAAATGTATTAAAATAATCATAGTTTTACTCACCAAACTCCTGTCAATTCCTGTAAAACTCGGGCCACCAACTCTTCAATCTTTTTATTATCTAAAGTTTCTTCATTCTCTTCAAATCTTCATCTATAGACGAGAAATTATAACAAATTTTAACTCCTTTTCTCGTTCATGTTAGAGGTTTTGCTCAGTTTTGCTGTAAATCTCACGAACTCAAGTTTTCCTTAATTTTTTTCATCTATGCAAACGAAGGACTTTCTGATACATGTGCGAATAGAATGACTTTATAGAAAATTATGACACATAAAAAGGAATGAGCACTTTTATGAGATTGTAATGGGCAATTTTTAAGAGATCATGTGTAAAGGCATCGATATTTTTAATAGGATTGAAGTTTGAGGATATGAAATTGATACTTAAATTATTTTAATGCATACTCAAAATTACTTTGATGATTAAAAAAGTTTTAAAGTATTTGATGCGAGAATGATGGCTGATTTATTGTTAAAAATTATCAAAGCTACATACTAACTTCCCAAACTTCTATTATTGAAGCACCATTTCCGTAGAACCTAAAGAATGTCATTCACAACTTATTTTGAAGATGAAGAAACTTTTAAATAATAAAATTCCAACCCCACCCCCTTCGTTTAGCTGAAAAATTTAATTTCAGACGCAAAAATTCAAAAATTTTAATAATTCCAAGAAACATCATTCATTAACTCAATTTAGAGTTCCCATCCCTATCTAATAAAACATTTGTCTTGCCTTTCTAAAACTGAGCACAAAAATTAATTAAAATTTCTTCCTTCATATGCAAAAAATATACACAGTCGTTCATGTATGAAGGAACATTCGAGCTTAGTTAAGCCAGGAGATGATATTAAGGAGCTAAGTGAGTTATGATTTTTACTGCCTCTAACTTTACATAATTTATCTTATAAAATGGAAAATTTTCACTCGTACATGTACTGATGTTGATGTTGCTTCCACATACTATTTTCATTTCTTGGTGATGATGTTGTTATCATAGAATATGTACAGAAGATAAAAGGTCATAAAGTTCTCAATCTTCACATGATACTTTAAATTATTTACGGACTATGAGGATATGAAGAAGATGGAAATTCTCATTCGTTGTTGTGTTAAATTAAACCCTTATGGGGAGATAATGTTGATTCATTTGAATTGGTATCTGATGCAGGAGGTATTTTATGGTGACTTGGTGCCTGTGACTACATGTTGTTGTGATTGGATAGCATCTAATCTTGTTAAGGTTGCTCGACATACTACCATAAAGCTTCTTCAAGGGCGTAGCTCAATGTTTCTTAAACCATTCAGATCGCGACACACTAAGGCAGGAAGGTGTTTGGTGGTGTAGGTGTAGAAATATCATTGAGTCCTAGACTAATCACATACTTAACTAGCCATAATTACTAGAATCACAATAATTCTCAGTCACCATACTCCAGCATCCTTATATCAACCCCCCATAACTTAATATTCTGACAAAATCCACGCATCATCTCATCAGCAAAACAAAAAAATAACTTCTAAGAAGACATAAAGATAGAGAGAATGTATATCCTTCCCAAGTTGATAAAGGATGTGTATATTGAAAAATAAAGTTTAAGGGTATGCAAATAATGAGACAAGGCACTTGATGATGATGAGGAGTACATGAATGTGTAGATGTACACAAACATATGTTTACTTATTAAAGCTGCTAATGACTTAATGATTTTACGACGTAATTAAATTCGTTCTACATGAAAATTAGCGAGCTAAGCAAATTAATGTCATATTGCTGGGAACGAAAAAAAAAATATTATGAGAAACATAATATTATAATTAAGAGAGTATGTTCATTGCGGTATATGTGATGAGAATGTAAAAAAGTTTTTATTATTGTGGTTAAAATTTGCACATCATTTGACATTTCTCAAGTAGGAATACAAAACAAGTAGATGGAAAATAAGACTAAATAGAGGATAAGAGTTATTGAAATGTAATTAATTTTCAGCACTTACAGAGCTTCAAGCATATCAAATATAGCTTGGCACTCAACATTGTATTTGTTAAGAAATAAAGCTTAAGATTAAAATAACAAGTAGAGGAAATTAATTAAGGAAAGACGAAGGGTTGTTCACTTGTGGCATATATCAAAAAATTTGATTTCCAGATTTCCACTCTCTAAATGATGAACATCCCCCAAAAAGATAAATTTAATTATTTAAAAATAAATAATAAATTCATCAGCGACATAAGGCTCAACAAGCTCTCAAATGACGTGTTACATTAAAGTTTTAAACTAGAAAAGATATTTTATTTGACGACAATTTCCTTAAATCCATCCAAAAAAACCATCCAGACTTATTGCGTGAATTACAACAACTTTCTACGATGAATATTTTAAATAAATTTCTATCTCACAACTCTACATCAATGTGAATTATAAATTTAAGCTTTTCAATTTTCCATCCTTACAATACCGCAAACAATTTCCTTTCACGGTATCTTCAGCTTAAAATGTAGAGGAAGAAATAGAAAAAAACACAACGTTTGCAATTGAAATGTGAGAAAATCAAGTACTTGAATTTCAATTTAAATCACTGTACATTTTGCATTTGTTGCTCGTTCATCATTATGTGCATTGTGTTGAATAGTTAACACTACAGCGAGGACGGATTGAATGGGGAAAAAAAGAAAGTTTTCGTTGAAATGAAATTAAAATCAAGGAAATGTTCGAAAGGAAATGGGAAAGTGTAATTCGATTATAGTCGGTGAACGGTTTAAAGCAAGGGGATAACAACATGATGGGAAAAAGTGATGAGAAATTTTTTATGAATTTAGAATTGGGTTAGATTTGGAAATAGCAACAAGGGGAACACAACATGATGAATATGATTCACACCAATCAGAAGCCATCGACAAGAAATTTCTCATCATGTTGTTGCCCCCTTGCCTTTCATCAATCAAAAAATTGATGACAAATTTTTCATCAAAATCTTTCCCCATCATGTTGTTACCCCCTTCGACAAACAGCAAATTCAGATTGATGATTCAATTTAGCTGAACAATTTCGAAATTAAATCCACGATTTATTTTTCTTTCTCTTCTAGGTTCGGAACGGAACGGTAGACATACGTAAAAATACAACATTTATGATATGGAATCAAACAGACAAAATGATGTATCTGAAACAAGAGGTGTGGATCAACGAAACGATTAGACATCTAATGGTAAGAGAAATTGATTGAATGGATTTATTTTCAATCATGGTAAAATATAAAATAATTACAACAGGATTTCGAGACACAACTATTAAAAGCAATGAAGGATGATGGATGGGATGGATATCCACCGGGATCGAAGCCACAATGGACATTCTCTGGCTCACTATTCTATTCAATCATTGTCATTACAACAATTGGTAAGTGTTGCGTTTTATTGTTCTTGTTTGATTATAAAAATTGAATTGATTTTATGGACATTCTGGAGTTGTCCGTTGGCAAATTGAGATGGATTTTATTTTTGCTGTAGACTATGTGACTCTGTATGATGAAAAAGAAGACATTTGTTTCCTGAGGGATTTTAAGAATGTAATGAAAAATATACAATGTTGCTGATTGATATAAAGTAAGAGGGGTTGAGGTTAGTTGGGAACAAGCCACTGCAATATGATAATAGAGTCATGAATATTTTTCCATACTTTTATTTCTCGTAATTACAGTTTCTTTAGCTTCATTTTCAATTTTTAACTTAAAGTTTCGTCTTAATCATAAGGAACTTCCTCAGAGGAAGAAAAAGTCTTAAAAATATACAAAATAATATAAATCACAATCAAGCTAGAATATTCAATTTCCTGACAAAAGCTCTCAATTTGATTTTGCTGATTTCTCGACTTTCTTAACTGCTGAGTTTTTTCCTTGTGAATCGTAATATGGTCCGTAGGGACTACTTCCAAATTGTTGATTGTATGGATTAATTCCACCTCCGTATGGATTTCCACCACCAAATCCACCACTACCTGCAAATGCTGGATTAAACTGACCACCTCCAAATCCATTATGTTGAGCTCCAAGAGAATTATGTTGTCCTTCAAAACCAAATGGTTGACGTGGTGGATAGCCAGGATGTCCAGAATATCCTCCTTGTTGTGGATATCCACCACCAACACCAGGATAGCCACCTCCTTGATATGGTGAGAATCCAGGCCTTCCAATAATTCCAGTCGGACCACCAGGACCCACTAAGAGACCATTCGCAAGATTATTCTGTTGTGGATATCCGAGTGGATCTGGAATAAAGTTTTGTAGCAAATGCAAGAAAAAATCAGCAACAACATCATTACTTCCTCCATGAATTGGGAATTGACCAGGATAACCTGAAGCACCACCAACAGGATAATGCTGAGCACCAGGAAATCCTCCGGGACCGAATTGTGAGTACGGTCCAACTCCGAAACTTCCTTGCTGTGGATATCCAAATCCTGGGTAATCATTTGCCTGCGATTGTGGTGTCCCAAAGCGATTTGGTTGATATCTGTGAATTATCCAAGCATAAAAGGGATACAAAAAGGCAAATGGAAGTGAATTTTTAGTTTCTATTTTATATTCTCACCGATTATTACCGTTGTAGCTCTCACCACTTGCTGTAAATTCATTTGAGAATTCATCACTTAATGGTTTCGGTTTGTTGGTTGTTGATTCCCTCACTTGATATTGTTGAGCGTATGGTCTGGGTAGAAGAGAAAGAAAGACATGAGATAAATTTAATTTTGAAATATTTTCGGATATTCTTCGGTTTGGCAGTAATGGATTTATGTTCAGTTCTGTTAGACATGGGTTGAAAAAAATTAAGAAAATGAAATGTTTTATTTTTGGAAATTTCCTAAATTTTATAGTCTTGTGTGGTTGGTGTTACACCTACATATGGTTTACAATTTAAATTGATAAATGTCTTTGAAGTTAGGAATAGAATTGAAATAGAATATTCTTTATAAATAAGATTTCAATTTAGGACTAAGGCTACTAATGGACGGATATTAGACATTCTATCAATATACACCAGTGATGATTAACCTGTTTGCCACGACACAATAGGAAGATGTGAGAAATTCTCAGTTTTATTTTTAAAATAATCCCAAAAAAAGCATAGAAGTGTGTCATAGCACCAAAAAGGTTGTCCAGCCCTGATCATGCCTGCATCCATTCAAAAATTTGACACTAATATTTTAAAGCAAATTCCCTTTGATCGAAATCATCTTTTGAGAGAATTAAAGAAGAGATGAATGGAAGTTACTCAAATGAATCTTCTTTGTCTGATTATGCAGCCTTTTCTGTTGTTAACAAAATTTTGAGCACCCATTCAACATAACACAATTTTTTTATTTCTTAATGAAAAGCAAATCAAACTGAAAGCTTCATTCCAAATAAAAAGGAGCTTCCCAAAAAAGCTTCACAATAAGAAATTTCCTTTCATCTCATTGAATTACGAAGAAAATTTGCTTTGCATATTTGATTGAATGTCTCAATGTATCAGCATTAGCATTAGTATCAATAACAAGATTTCTCAAAACTCGAATAATGTCAATTTTTATGCTTGAAGTATGCTAATAAAAGCAACAATAATGATACAATAATGCAGAGAAGAATGAACAAATGTAGAAGAAAAATTGTGACGAGTAAATAAGAAAGACAGCAAGTAATTCATTAGCATTCATGAACCCATTTATCCTTTTAACAAGAATATAAAATAAGAGATGTTAGATAGGAGAAAGAGAAAAATAATAAGTAACAAGTTATAAGAAAATTAGATGTTGATAATAAGGTTTAAAAAAGATTGTGCTAAGGATGGGTGTAGCTAGTATTTTTGAAAGGTAGAGGGGGTCTTGTTGTTTCATTTTTTATCAGGATTCCAAAATTTTGTTATGTCAAAATTCTTCTCGCGGGAATCATACTCATGGTTACGTTCTGGGTATTGGGTATGGTCAAGTAGTAACAGGAAGAAAGCTTTGATTATTACCAGTGACAAAATTAGATCGGTTTTTGTACCTTAATCAAAAAATTAGACATACTTTACACGAAAAGTAGTAAGTTTTGTCGACAAAATTAAGAATCCAGTTAAACTTAGAGAAGAATCTTTAAATTAGGCTTGATGTGTGTAGCTATAAAACTTTGAATCTTCACAATCATGTATAAATAAGACATAGCCCCTTTGAACCCCTTTAAATAAGACAAAAAAAAGCACAAAGGAGGATTAAAAACGAATCAAAAAATTTGCATCCAAAAAGCTCTCACTGAAAAGTAGAAGAAAATTTTATTTTCTAAAGCATTAAATTCAAATTTGATTGAATTAAGAAGAAGAATAAGACTTTTAAGAAAGCGTACGTGTGTTTGGAATACACAATAAACAAAAATCCAAAAAGTGTGAATTTATAAATGATGCTGAACAGAAATTGAGAATTTTGAATGTATGATTTGAAGGTATCTATGGATATTCTGGACTGTAGAGTTAAATTATCAAGGATGCATAGTTTAAGACTAGATTTTTATTATTTTTGAATTTTTTACGAACTTATAATATGATTTTTGAAGCCAACCAACCTCAGAAAATTAGCTGGATGGGTGTGGGCTGCAAATTTAGTAAGGCATAGTAGTTTTGATCAACACAATGCACCCCTAATGCATGACCCAATGTTACCAAAGAGAACAGAGTCCGTTACAATAAAAAAAAAATTCAAAATTTTCGTGCGGTATTTTTTTAAACTTCAAAATAAGAAAGTCCGTTCCTTTTTTTATTTTTAAACTAGCTGTTTTTTAAAGCATAAACATTTAAGGAATGCAATTTCATCACAATGATAATCTTAATCATAAAAACTAGTAGGAATGTTCACTAAAATTACAAATTACTCAAAACATAATAATTCACAACGAATTTTTTTAAAAATAAGAACCTCGAAGATTCGATTTTCGAAAAATAAGAACCTCAAAAATTCGAAGTTTAAATAATAAGAACTCAAAAATTTCTGTTTGCTAGCATTGGGCAAAAACCTGATCGAATTGAGCAAAAACTTTCGTTTAATAACATTTAGACAACCTTTGTTCAATCTCTGACCTCCTAACCTTCTCTTACCCCTATTCGACTGAGATTTTAACCTAAAAAGGTTCGAAACATTTGCCAAATATACAATTTCATTAAAGAATCTCAAAAATCTCTCATTTATAGTTTTTCGATAAAATGAATTTAAACGAAATTCGTTTAAAAATTTAACAAGCACAACATACAATCTAAAATGTCTATTCCTACCTTCTATCGTTGTAATCTTGATAAGATGATGGCACACGAATTCTTCCGTTTCCTTCGCCACTTCCACTAATTGATTCATAATACACATCCTTTCGGTTGCTCGCTTCTTTATCACGATCTTTTCCTGACACTGGCCATGACCATTTTTCAGCTTCGGAATTAGTGAGAACCATTAGCCATAATCCTCCCGTAAATAGTACAAAATTCAGCATTGAATGCACTGCAAAAAATATATTGAAAATCAATTTAAAAGTGGAATTTTACAGAAGTTTTCATTTTATTTTCCAAGCAGAGATCAGAAATCCCTTTTCATGCTGGATGTAGCAAAAAAAAAAAAAACAAACTTAAATGCTCAACCCATCATCGGAATGTATTTTGAATTTCTATCATTTCGTAGAAGTTCAAAACAACAACATTTTTATTTTACAGTTCACAACATTTCCATCTGATGTAAATGATTCAAATCTAGTCAAAATGCAGAAAAAAGAGAGGAAAAAAAAAAGACATTCAGAGTACATTGTGAACGAGCTGATAAGAAGGTCGAACGATTGAATTACAAATTCCATCAGTGTTCGGAAGGTTTTTTGATGTTTTTGTAGTTTTGTTGAGTGGGTTTTGGTATGTATGGATGAGATGGAGGTTGTGTTGCATTTTGGGGGGGAACTTTAGTTCGGTTAATGATATTTTGTGTCTGAAGTTTTATAATAAGGTGCAGGTTCATGCTGGTGCTCAGTTAATATACACTGAAAGGCTTTTTATGAAAGAACTTACAATAAACTAGTCACAATTCGATTGTTATGATAAGAATATAAAAGGAGGTAAAGTCAAATATGAGTTACCGAACAACATATTGATTAATCTGCAAGTGCCATTGTAAGACTCTTGACACAGAGTGGTTAAACAATAATCTAAGAATGTATAATCAGTTTATTTATAATACGTGGGTTTGATTCCCACCACAGGCCGATTTCTCAATCATTTCTTGATATGACTGCATTTCGCCAATATATTAACAAGCCTTTATGAATGACTCTTTAAATTGAGAAAGCCGAAGAAGCCAAACAGTGAAGCTTCTTTTGCATACAGATCATTGATTTCCTCGATTTACTATAATATCTCAAAGTTCGTGGAACTTCTTGAAACTTTGTCCAACAAACCCCAAAAAAATTGCGCTCAAGCCACTATCATCCATCAACAACAACCCAAATTCCTATGTAGATTTATCAGAGATTGCAAAATAATGAATGAAGAAACACAACATAAGAAGAACAAGAAACTTTCATGATAAAAAAAAATGTGTGGAAAGAAAAGAGTAAGAATGGAAAAAGTTTACAAGCAACCCATTACTTCCGCAAGGACATAGGACAGACTGTTTTTTTCCCTTTAGAAACAAAAAAAAAATAAAATTTGTGGGATTGAAAGAAAAAGGCAGATTCGGGTCACCGAAAGGATGCTTCTTCTTTTTTGCAAATTATTTGTTTCTCGTCAAGCTTATTGATAGGAGACACTAAGGATATTGAAAATGGAAGGGATGAAAGTATTTAAATTCTTCTGTTTGTTTATCGAATAAATCGTAGTGGGGAGAAAATAGAGGAAATAAAGTATCGAGATGAATGAAAAGGGAACTGATTGAGGTCGTTAAAGTTTGAATGAGTTGAGGTGGGAAATGTAAAAATAATTTGGTGATGGCTTTGGGTTGTTATTGATTTTATTGGTTAGTTTCAAGGAGCTTAAAGTGAGCTTTGTAGACACAAGTTTATCACAAATGATCACTAGTAGTTGCTGAATAGATAGCTCACTATATTTGCAAACAAACCATTAAAGCTAAGAGCATGAAAAATTGCTTTTGTAACAAATCTGAATTTCCAATCCAACCAGAAGCCAAATAGTCAAGAACAACAAGAAAAAAAGTTTACGAAAACTGGAATATTTCAATGTCCATTTGTATTTCTTCTTTTGATTTCATATCATATCAATGATGTAACAGTTTTCCTCATTTTGTTGTGTATCATTCATACACATGTAACATGAATCGAGCAATCTTTCACATACAGCAACTTATTTTTTTTATTCTTGTGTCGACAAAACATAAAGAAAAACATTTTTCATTCCATAAATCATAAGTTGTTTATGGATGTTGTTTGTATTTTTTCCTCCTGCTTTTTTTCATGTTCGACTTATGATACTTATGTAAATATTCGTATATTCGATGTTAATGTTTGATGGAAAATATGAGAACTTTTTTTTTGTTGTTGATGCTTAACTCTTTTCATGTTATTCTTTATGGCTTCATTCATATTTGTTACTTAACTTTAGGAATTAAATAAATTGAATGAAAAATTGTTTAAATATTTGGAGATTGCTGAGTAATACAATTGTGGAATTGAATGAGAAATGTTTAAGGATGATGCACACAAATTTAAAAAATTATTGACTTTGTGCAGTAGTTAATCTAAATCAGGGTTGCTCAAGTTATGTTTCATTTTAAAATGCTAGTCAGCAAATATTCTAATAGTATGGAAATGAAAACAATTTGATTCACCGTGTCGTGGTGAACATGGCCTGTAAATTAAAAAGCGTTAAGAAACATTTCATTTACAAAGTTGTGGCTTGCCTTTTTACACCACCTTGACCTAAGCTCAAAATATGCAACTTCATCGAGTAATCTCCATAAAAATTGTAATGTAAAAGTTCCAACTTGATATATTTTAAAACAATATCCAAACATTTCATTCATAATTGAAATCCTTCAAACATTTGCATAACCTTAAAATTATTTTTGAATATTCATGCAAAAGCTTTCGATTTACATTTTTAGTGCACATTTTCGTTTTGATTGTACAACTTTCTATAAAATTACATTAGAAACTCATCTCAAGGATCTATTTTAATTCAAAATGATGCATTCAAAAATTTTACTGGTTTACGAAAACAAAAACTATAAATTTTTGCTCAGTTTATGAATACAAAAAAAAAGTAAATAATAAAAGTTTTGGGAAACGAAAATTTTCATGCACTCATAAAAAAAAATTTAATAAATTGTTACTAAAATCTTTTTAAAAAAATTTTACTAATAAATTACTAAATCTTAAAAACTTAAGTTAAAATTTAAAAACATTTTTTTAAATTTTACAAAATATATATTAAAATATTGTAAACTGAAAAGTTTCGTAGAATTTCTACAAAACATTTAGTAAAATGTTATTAAAATTTAATATGGTGTCATCAAAGCATTTCTTACAAAAATTTTTCTTTTTTTTTTGTGCAAAATAATTTCAACTAAAAAAAATAAAGTATGAACTGTATAGTTAAAACATGTAAAAAATCGTTTGGAAATATCGAATCACTTCGAAATCATTTAAAACATGTACACAATAAGAAAAAAACTGATATTTATGAATGTTCAGTCAGGGAGTGTAGAAAAAGTTTCAATTTGGCTTCAAATTTCTACAAGCATTTGGAAATCCATAGCGAGATAATTTCATGTATGTACACATTAAATATTAATTTCAATGACATAAATTAATAATTTTATATTTCAGCCAACGATTGCAATAATAGTTCAGCTAGTCATCATATTATTATTGAAGAAGTTCAAGAACTCGAAACCCAAATCCTTCATGAAACGAATACGTGTGTGGCTAGGAATGATAATTCAAATAAAAGTCCACAAAATGAAATCCCTGCAGATCTGCCTCAGGACTTCGATGATATGTTTTTTTATTTTTTGACATTTATGCACTCTGAGAGCTCAATGTCAATAAAACTTTCAACGAGCATCTTCAACAAATTTAAAACAGATATTTTGAGTAAGATTTTGGACCATACAACTAAAGACATAAAAGATAAGATTGAAAAATCTGTTGAAAAGTGCTCAACATTCTATAAATACAAAAAAGAGTTAAGCAAACGAAACTGCATGTCAGAAGCAACGCAAAGAGTTATTAATGAACGTACTGGATTCCAATTTAAACATGGAAGACCACATTATGGAAGCATTAAAGAAAAAGTCACAATGATGCCAATCAAACAACAAATCAAAACCTTTTTGGAACTTCCAACTATATTAGATACAATAATTGAAAATATGACTCGACTAGAAAGCGACAGTACACATATAAAAAACTTTGTTCAGGGAAATATATGGAAAGAGATTAAGAAAAACTTTGATAAGGAGGATATTGTTCTTCCATGTTTCATATATCACGATGATTTTGAGCCGGACAATCCATTAGGTAGTAATGCTGGATCAAATAAAATTGCTGCATTTTACTACAGTTTTCCAGTTCTTCCAGAGCATCTTTTATCGTCACCAAAATATGTGTTCGATGCATTACTATTTTCATCGCACTTAAAAGGAGAACATGTTGAAAGTGCATTAATACCACTCATCCAAGAGTTCCGAGACCTAGAAACAGAAGGCATTGAATTGTTGATAAATGATAGAAAAGTTAAAATATATATCGTTGCTTCATTATTGCTTGGAGATAATCTTGCTCTAAATGAAATTCTTGGTTTTTCAAAAAGTTTCAACGCAACATACTTCTGCCGTTTTTGTAAAACTGAAAAAAAAATAACTGCCACAAAAAGTTCACTACAAGGAGACAGAACAAGAGATTTATTAACGTATGAAGACGATCTACAAAAACAACAATTTGGTGTTATTAATAGCTGTCCACTTAGTGATTTGAGATATTTTCATCCAATTAAAAACTTTTCATGTGATATTATGCATGACATATTTGAGGGCATCACACGGTATGATCTAGCATTATTTTTCCATTATGCTGTTTATGAAAAAAAAATTTTCAATTTGTGGACCTTAAACAAGTTGAAGCAGGAGTTTGACTACGGTTCAATTGAAATTGGAAATATGGGACCAGAGATATCAGAGACACAAATTAAAAATTTTTCTTTAATGATGAGTGCGTCGGAAATGAAAACATTCTTACATTTTTTACCTTTAATGTTCGGACATTTATTCAAAAATAATGTACATACTAAAATTTGGAAATTAGTCCTTCAACTGGTTGATATTGGAGACAAACTCATGAAACGTTCGATGGAACATAATGACGTCAATTACCTACAGATACTAATTAGTGAATATATAGAGAATAGACTAATATTATTCAAAAAGAATTTAAAACCAAAACATCATATTATGTTGCACTATAGAGATTGCATTTTAAATAGTGGACCTATACGTCACTTAATGTGTTTTCCTCATGAACAGAAAAACAGAGTCGTGAAAAAGTATTCCAAAGTATGTCATCAAAGAGTAAATTTGTCATGGTCTTTGATGTACAAAAGTGTAATGAGTTTTAACTTGTTTTTAAAAGAACACAGCAATGGCTTTCCATCAAACATTTTATGTGATTTAAAATCTAAACCCACCAACGTTGAAGATTTATTGAACAAAGAATACAACGCCTTGGAAATACTCAAAAGTGGTGACAAATTCTACATTCTGAAATGGATAAAATATAAAGGAACATTGTACAAGCGTGACTTTTATATGGCTTTGCACATAGATGAACTTAGATGCTTTAAAATTGTAGATGTTTTAAGAAAAAATGATTTATATTATCTTATCCTCGAAGAGTTTCAAATACTTTATTATGAAAACAAAACATTGAGCTATTATGTTGGCGAATCTTTAAAAATATTCATTGCAAAAGAAATTGAAGATTTCTTGTATTTTCCTTTTCAAATTCATTCAACTTTTGAAGGTAAAAAAGCTTTTAGAGTTAAGTATATTTGAAAATAGATTATTATTAAAATGATTCCTTGATGTATAAACAAGATTAAAATATTCGAAATAAATAACAAAGCTTTAATTTGATGTAATTGCCATCTACATAAATATGTGATTATTGAAATTCGTCAATGACAAACTTTAATGATATTTATTAAAATTTTAATAAGTTTCATCAAAATTTTAATGAGCTTTATTAAAATTTTAATAAGTTTCATCAAAATTTTAATGAGCTTTATTAAAATTAATTAAGAGTTATCAAATTTTAGTAAATGTTATTAAAATTTTACTAACTTTTGTTAAGATTAGTGTCTTATAGTTTTTCAATAAAAAAACATCTCTCGCTGTGAATTTAGTTAAAATAATTACACTAATAGTTATGTATCGTGCTAAAAAGCCATTAATTCAACAGGAAAATAGTGATGAAAATCTCGTTGAAGAAGTGATTGAAAGAGAAGGTAAAAATGATAAAATTCGAAAAATTCGTCTCAAGTTATGATACATTAATTTTTCATACATAGGCTCAACTTACAACACAGATTTAGACCATAATTTCAATGAAAATGGAATGGAAGAAGTAAATGAAGTGCTTCATTACATTGGCTATCCAGAGTTACAACAGCTTTTCTATCGTAAGTTTCTTCTATGTCATTATTATAATGTTTCAATTTTCATTCGGTTTACATGATATGAATATGTAAAGACAGAAAGTGCATAGCTTTAATAATTTTATTAAATTTCTGTTTTACATGATTCAAAGAACATATATTAAAATAAGATCTTTCTTGAACATCGATTTTCTAATTATTATTTATATTTGTGATTTTAGATGAAAAAATTGATAATGAAGTCTTGGCCAATTTAAATCAGAATGCAATAATGATGCTTTTACGTGAATACCCTATTGGAATCCGTATCAAGTTTTACTTCAAGTTAAGAACATTCCTAGAAAGTATCCAAGGAAACCAATATAACATTGGTAGTTTTCCAAGCTCAAAAAGTTTATCATCTAATGTTTCGTCTTTGAATGATAAGGTAAATTACTATCTTCTGATTGAAAATAAAATGTGAATTGACTATGAATTTTTTATTTCAGCTTGTCTTGGACGATAGAAGTGTGTTTAACATTTTAAACGAAACGGACGAAGGAAAGCGATTCATTAGAAAACATCCTTTTAATAAAGCTTTAAACGTGAAGGCAAAGGCTGAACTTTCTGGAATAATTTGTGGAGTTGTACTAAATGAAGGTCTCAAAATCGGACGGAAGGAAGCCAAATTATTGTCAGAGTCAATTTGTGCTATTTATGAAAAAGAAGATCCAAAAAGTTACTTCGATGGTAAAATTGGAGTCTTATATTCTAAAGCTGTTTATCTTGGAAATAAGCTTAAGGATAAAATTGTTGATGAACCCGCGAAGAAAAAGCAAAGACTTCTTTCAGTTACAGAAATGGAATTTTCTGTTGAAGAAGTGAATTCCGATGATTTTGTGCGTTCAAATTGGGATCTTGGATTCCGTAAGAGATCGCATTTCATGAAGAGTCACAATGATTGCAATTTGAAAGACATCATTAATGTCTACAAAAGTTATAGTCGTAGTGACGGATATTTTTTGGTTTGTAATTTTAGAAAATGTTTGAATCATTTAAATCTTTTTAACGTCCTTCTATGTTCCTTTCAGGTGGATTCAGATTTCAATTCGTTGTGTCCTAATGTTTTATTTGAGGAAAATTGGAGTCGATTAAAAACACAACTGTCCAAAGTATTGTCTAAAAATATAGCAAACCAGAGAATCATATCAAAGTTAGATATGATTGATGATATGTCTGAGGAATCAAAGTCAATAACAGTTTTGTATGGTCTACATGGATTTTTGTACTCTCGTAGTAATACACACATTAGAGAAACAATTGAAGACAGTTTCGAGCAGATGATCAGCATTATTCCAAGTGAAGGCTCTTTAAAGATTAAGCTTCAGAGTCTCCGTGAAAAAATTCAATTAAAAAAGCAAACTCTTCAGCCGGTGATTTTTTGTATAGGCGACGATATTGAAAGTATTATAAACAATAGATTCATGTTAATTTTTGATGATTTTATGTACACTTTTACTGACTTTTGTACTACATTTAAAACATATTTGCAAATGTTTGTTGTATTCAACCTATGCTATCCAGCTTGTAGTAAAAATGTTCATGAATTTATTGCTTCTAACTTGTTAGATCAAAAATGTGAGCTTGCTCCTAAGTGTCGATCTTTAGAAAAACTCATCTCTGATGAACTTATGAGTAATGAATTATAAGTATGAATTCCAAATTGTTGGAGTTTCATTAAAACATAAATTGTAATAAAAAACAAAATAAAAGTTAATTATTTCTTTTTAATTTCATTTAACTTTTCAGCATAATAAAATATTTTAGTAAATTTTTATTAAATTTTGGTATTTTCCCACTAAATTCTAGCATGATGATTTTTAAAAAAAACTTATTAAAATTTAATAAAAAGATTATTAAAATTTTAACGGTTTTGTAAAATTCAAATATTTTTGTAAAATCAAGAATTTTTAACAACACTTATTAAAGTTTAATAAAAGTTTGCAAGATGTATTTTTAATAACTTTTATCAAACTTTTTCATACATTTTTAATAAGATTTATTAACTTTTTTTTATGAGTGTGAGCATTTTGTGAAAATATTTAGAAAAAAAGAAAGTTTAATGCATGTTGAGCCAAAAAGTTATTGAAATAATCCTCACAATACAGTTGGAATTGAAACCATTAGAATAGCTTTTCATTTAGTTCCAAAACTAATGGAAGTGGTTTGATTTGTAAAAGTTGATGAATGCATGGACGTGCATGTGATATATTTGCATGCATGATTTTTGCAAAATTTATTTGAATTTGTCGAATTGCTTTTGATTGTGTAAAAATTCAGTTTGTGTTACTGATCGGCAGTAAAATTCAGAAAATATAAACTTTTATCTCAATGGTTTGCTGAATGGTCGTATCCATCGACAAAATCTCTCATTTATTTAATGGATGTTAGGTGTAGAGAATGAATAAAGTCTGTATTTTCAAATATCCGTTTATTAAATGTGAGGTAGATAGATTGCAGTGAGTTTTTAAATGCTGACTATCAGAATTTATCCCCAGAGATCTCCAACATAACATATATACACAAATAGAGTCTATCTGAAGTCAAATAGTCGAGAGTAGGCTTTAAGGCAGAGTTGAGTTGCCGTTTTTAAATTGTATTTGCAAGGATTGAATGAAGTTTGAAATGTGGTTCCAACCTTTAGAAGGATGTCGTCCATCAACCTTGAAATTAGAAGTTTGGACCTCTATAGACCCTCATCAGGCTACACTCATGCTTAAACTCATCTTTATAAGGAGAAAATTGGATGTCTTACAACACTGTGGAAGCATGGGTCAGTATCAGACCCTTGAAAACATAATTAAGAAACACAAAATGGCAACAAAGATCACATTCGTCCCTAAACAATGATTCGCATTATGAACAACCTCTATGATTCTAAAAAAGACCCTTCTCGCAATTTTTCAACCCTGACTTCATCATCAAATTAAAAAAAACTTTTTAATATTTCAAGAGTACTTCACTCGCAATTCGCTTCAATTAATTAATCGTGAAATCCCTTTGAAACTAAACACTTTGTTGATTCCACTCGAAAAATTTCACACCATTTAATTTCAGTTGGGCGAATCATTAAATTTGTATGATATTTTTTAATTGAATTGCGATTTATCTTCTATTTCCAAAGCTTTTTAGATAAATGAGATATTTTTATTATAAATGAGAGATGGAAAATTGTAGATATTGAGATATAAATTTTTTTCATTACGACTAAGTGAGGGAAATTTTTTTTATGGCGTTTTGTGTTAATAAGCGAGATTTGTTGTGGGTAGAACAGTTTTGATGCTGTAGATTGGGTGTAGAATTTCAATCATTCTAATTTCTTGATTTTTGATTAAAACAATTTATATTTCATGAATTTATTCACTTTCTGCAACCTACGTAGATAAAGAAGATGAATTTATTCATAGATCAATTGGTCGTTATAAAAATTCAATTAAAATATTATATAATATCATATAGAAACGGGCCCTTAAAGGTTCCAAACTGGTGGATTGATTATTGATTTTTCATAAAGTTTTTTCTATTTTAGTTCACTTATGCTAAGAACTAGTTTTTAACGCTTTTAGCAAAAGCTAACGAAGGGCACCCTTCCTTAGTTATAATCAATTATTATTAACACCTCAGAGTTTTGGGGTTCGATAAATAAATGACATCCGAATTCCAAGAAATCATATTGCTTTCGAGCTTTTTGCTCCCTTTCTTCTCCTCCCTGTGACGTCTTTCTATTTTTTGTCTATCAGCTCTAGAAATTGCTCCCTGTGATTATTTACCAATTAATAAATAGACATCACTATTAGATAAACCCTTATTATAAGCATCCTAATTGAAAATTTCCTTCAATATCCACGCAATCTAATCAAGAGAATTGTTGAGGTCACACACTCAATAACATTTTATGATGACAAAAATGAAGCAGGAAGAAGAACACAGGCAATACTGAATTAAAATAAAATTATGATAGACAGAAATAGGATTAAAAAGATGACAGAAAGAACGAAGTAAAAACAAAAATTTGATAAGCGTCAAGTAGAAGGCCTTAAAAGTTTAATTTCAATTTATTTTCCTTCGTCTTATTGAGGGTTGCTGCAGCGACTTAGTCACCCCCACTAAGCATTTTATATTAATTCGCAGTGAAATTTTAATTAGCTCATAAATTTCTTTTCTGCCGCTCTTCAGCATTTTTAATGACACTTCGTGTGCCCCTCTTTTATAAGGACAAATTGGAAAGTCTAATGAATTGTTAAAGCGCTCTACTTGGTATAAATAATCATCAAGAAAGCTTTCGGCTATAAAAACAACCGAAAGTAATGAATGAATTTGAGTTAACGAAAAAAAAGGAAAATTTTATTCTGATAATTAAAACTTCATCTTGTTCCTTCATCTGATGTGCGAAAATTTTCATTTATTCTGTCGCTTTTTTGCTCTACTTCAATTCACTATAACTGTGCTGCTTTGCTCCTGTTTTTATTACTATTAATTCCGTACTATTATCAGACCAGAAATGTAAAATTAATTTTCACTTTTTTATTTGGTACTTTTTTTGTGTGTGCGGCAGTTGTTTGAGGTGTGATGGAGTTTGTGGAGAACTGTGTCTATTTTGTCTGGATGGTTGATTCTTTTTGGTTTAATAATCTGATAAATTATGTTGCTTTGGGAACATTTGAACAGTTTTAAGCAAGAAGCTTGTTTTTGGGGCTACCCGAGGTGCTCTACCGTAAAATTAAAAATCAGTGCCCTCCACTTTGAGGTGTAGAAGAAATAAAATAGAGTCTTTGGAAATCCTTAAAAACTGACTCAAGTTTGTTTTTAAAAAAGGGGTGCGAAAGGTTCGGATTAGAGAAGTTGCTCCTGAAACTGCATTTCAAGGGTCCCTCTTAAGTTTAAACTACAGATCGATTGATCCAGCTTGCAAAATGCGCCTCTATCTTCAACAATTCAAAAAATTTCTAATCCAAACCTTTTATTCTTTCCATTTCATTTCTCAAACTTTTCCTTTAAAATCCCCTTCTGCATTGTCGTATTTTTTCAATTTTACCATTTTCATTTTAAAAAGTTTTTCCAATGAAATTAAAAATAGAAAAAATGAAAGTTTAAATTTGAAACTTTATTCAAAAGTCAATCCTTTTGTGGGTAAATTGACGTTTTTGTTTTTAAAAGTTTATAATTAAATGAAATTAGACAAATTAAAAACTGTAATGTACACATTTAATTATGTAGATATGATAGAGTAAATGGAAGGGAAGGTGAAAGTTGTGATTTAATTTGCAGTGCATAAATTCAGTTGTTTATGAGTTTTTATTTAAAATATTTTTTATGATTTATGGAAAAGTTTTGAGGTAAATATAGTATAATTACGATAATTACTATGAAAACTGGGTTAAAAGCTAGAGATTCATTTTGAACTTTATGAACCGTGGATGCATAAGACAGTGGCAGAAGGTTTAAATCAAATTCAATCGGGATTTTAAAATTTTGCAAGCATTTTTGTATAAATTCTGAAAATTAAAAACGTCTGAGATATAAAATTGAGGTTTTCAGTCAAAATTTATTTATATTTAATGTGTACAGAATTGATTCTCGAAGAAAATACCCTGGCAAGCTATAAAAACCGGTATCTGGAGTATATGGACTCTTCCCTGAAAAATATGTGTATTCCCGACCCTACTTTACAATGAAATAATCACTTTCCATGACTACCTATGCATGCTTCTTAAGTGTCATAAATGCCCTTGCCTTCATTCCAAGAAAACAAAAGCTTTATCAGAATTTTTAATCAAACACACAGCTCAGAAGCTGTAATAAACAACATCCTCTGCAAAAAATAAAGTTTCATGATCATACCCTTGAATACCATAAATCCAAATCAGAATAATAAATGCATGAACTCCAAATAAGCGTGGCCTTCCAAAAATACCTGACCCACTTCAGAAAAAAACTTTTTGCATATCAAATAACAAATTTACAACTTTTTATATTAATACGATGAAGATTAAATTATTTATATCTCATATGATGCATGAAACCCAATAATTTTAACAACTCTATAATTTATAGCAAAACTAACATCACCCAATAATAGATTAATACATCAATTCTGTCGACTTTCAATTTCTTTATTTTTCTACATCCTCCATACGCTCTGAATTATACAACGAAAATTAGCTACACTAAGTTTTTTTTCGATATTATCTTTCTTCTTTTTCTTTTTGTTGTTTTTCTTATCAAGCTATAACTTTTTTTCTTGCGAGTAAAAAAAATAAAATTTAGCAACATAAGAAGAAGATGAAGAAATAGATGGGAAACTTTTATGTCGAAACAAATACAGTGCAATGCAGCGAAAACTTTTCTTTTGATTCTCTCTAGTGATTTTTTAAATTATTTCCTCATAAGACTTAAGTGAGCGA